GAAATGACGCATATGTACGAGATTATTCACTGGGGCATTGTTTGTAAAAACTAAAGAAGGAAATGACCTAACTCAACAAAGGACTGGTTGAATGAATGACAGATCAGCCATATAATGGAATATTATGCAGCTGTAAAAAAAGGCTCAAGGCATTCTTTACATACCATCAGCAAGAGCCTTCCAAGATGGAGTAAACTGAAGAGGTAAGATACAGAACCATGTGGAAAGTATGCTACCTTTTGTGGAGAAAGGGGAGAAAATAAGAATAGAAATTTAAAAGTTCATGCCTTCCCTCAAGGAGACAGGGTAAAAATTCAGAGAGTGGAACAACTTACCCTGCCCAGCTCTCCACCTTATAAAAAGAAGCAAATGAGCTCATGGGTGAAAGTCAGGAGCTCTGGAGACAGTCACAGACCAGGGAAAAGCCTGAATAGAACCCGGCTGCAATTAATCCTGTCCTCAGACCTGCCCCTTACAACCCCAGGGCCTTTGCATTTAGAAGCTAGACTCAGTGCTCGGCCTCTGACCTTATTAGAACCAATTGTCCTGGGCCAATGAGGAAAGAGCAGAGGCGGGGCTTAATATGTAAATGAGGTGTTGGGTCCAGTCAGCGCCAACCACTCTCCGGTATCCCTGCGAAGGAACAAAACCCTGGATTCCAGCAGTCCCTGGACTGTTCACACTCCAAGTGATGATTTGGTTTTAGCACTAAGGTGCGTGTCCTCCATTGGAAATCGATTGCTCATATTGTTTTCTTTGTACTTAAACTGCAAATTGATTTTTGTTTCTGAGTTGTGCATAAACTGAACTTGAAAAGTATGTCTGCATATATGTCTAAACAACCCTGATCTGAGTTAATACTGGGGTCCCATGATACTAGTTTTTCTTGAAATGAGGTCCTAGACGTTATTGATCGTTGAGAAAAATTTGTTTGATTACAAGCTTCTCAAGAGCCTAGAAGTCTTTTCTTCTTTTGGAGGTAGAAGGGCACTAGCTTCCCCGAACACCGAACACCGTTAAGTGTTGATGAAATGTATGCGGAGGTAATGATCTGATTTAAATAGGAATCTAAGGTCCTGTTCCCCTCCCTCACTGACTGCAGTTGGCAAGGAAGCCAGAGCTTCATGATGGGGAAGCAGATAGGGCAGGGCCCAGCGCCCACACCTGGCCCGCATCCTCCGCGCACCTGCCTGGGAGTGGGGGTGGCGGCGGCGGCAGACCAGGGCAGACCACTGCAGATGTCGGGCGCGGCCCGCCAAGTCGCTGGGAGCGCGTTCCTGAGATAGGGGTGCGATGGTTGGAATGTGAGACCAGAGGCAGTGATGGACCATGCCAGCCCAAGAGCTGAACAAATATTGACCCTGAGCAGGGTAGCCTCTTGAAAGCCCTCCATGGGATGCCTCTCGGTGTTCCCCTATCTCCAGCCAGCCTCACAGCCCGGTGTCTCCAGCTGGGGTGGAGTGGGGGAGGAGGGTGCTGACTCTGCCTCTAGGGCCCAAGGCCCAGAAACCCTGTGTCACCCCAGGTCCTGGCATGAAGTTCCGGGGGCTTCCAGGCCTGGTCTTACTTCCTCTGGGATCTCTAGCCTAGACTAAGTGGTACCTGGATTAGGATGTGGGCCTCCCTGGAGCCAGGCTGCCTTTAAAATGACCTACAGAGGCCCTTTTTCCAGATCATTCATTAAGAAAGAAACCCACTAGGACAACTACTCTCCTAATTATTAATAATAAAAATAATGAAAAAATAATAAAAATAATGATAAGTAACATTTAGTAAGAGCTTTTTGTGTGCTAGGCACTAGATGCTTTACATGTATTAACCCATTTAACCCTCACAATGAGCTTGGGAGATAAGTATTTTTTTATCCCCATTTCACAGAAGTGGAAACTGACCCACAGGGAGAGTAAGAAGTGCCGGATCCCGAAAAGTCTCTCAAAGATAACATGTAAATCATGTTTTATCATGTAAAAACATGGATATGAGAGGTCCTTTAAGAAGGCTGGGTACTAGTCTCCTTTTACAGATGGGGATACTGAGGCCCTGAGCGGGGATAGCCTGCCCAAGATCACCCTGGGCTGCAGACCAAAGGCACTCTTTCACAGGTGCTGCTGGCTGGCTGACATTCCTAGGGAGCTGATTGCTGAGGCTTGGGGTTACCTGAGGTCTCTTCCAAGATCCCAAATGCCTTTTCTTTCCTGCCAGCCTGATACTCTGGGCAAACACGCCCGGCCCCCCTCCCCATCAGATGGCTTTCTCCTTTCCCATCTTCTTCACCCTAACCCTGACATGTCCCCCGTATCATTCCAGCAAATTGCTTTCCAGGTCCCGGTCCCAGGGCCCTCTCTTCTGCAGCCTGTCTAGGATGTTTTCCCAAATTCTCTATGGGCCTTGGTTACCCGACATGTCCAATGAGGACATTGGAGCAGATCATGCCAAGACCCTTCCTCTGTACCTCTGAGGTGCTAGGAATCTCAGACTCCATGTCTGTATTTGATAGAGTGGCTGCTGTCCCCACCTGGGCCTGCTGGGACCCCGCAGGCAGCCAGGGTCTCCCTCTCAGTTTCACAGCCAGCTTGGGAGGGGACAAGGGAGGTCAAGATTGGAGACAGGAAGACAGGCAGGGGATATTCAAGAGGTTCCCTCCATTGCCACCCCCTCAGTCTTCCAACCAGATTTCCATCACTCTCATCCTCATATATGTTCCAGCCTCTGAGGCCTGGTCCAGACCCCTAGGACCCCTCTGCCAGTGGGGAAAGAAAAGGGAATGTAGGCTGGGGCGGGGTGGAGTGAGCACCTTCCCAGGGCAGGGTGGGGTGCAGTTGGTGGTAGCCCACTGGCCTCACAGCCTGGCCTCCCCTCAGGGATGCTGAGGAACCCTGGCTGGAAATGGGACGGGCCCCGACAGTTCTGCCAAGGGCAGTGCCTTCTGCTTAGAAGGAAACACAGCCTCTTGTGTGTGAGGGGGGGGGGTGCGCGTGTGTGTGCATGTGCCCACACCCTGGCCTGCTCCACCCCAGGCTCACCCTTGCCTTCCCAGGTCAATGACCTCTGGAACTCTGAGCACACTCAGAGCCTCCCATCCTTCTGCCTGTTCCAGGTCAGACTCACTGAATGAGATGCCCAAGGAAAGAGAAACTTCCCGGGCCCTCTCTCCAGTTCTCACTGCCCACATGCTACTTGAGCAAAGGGCAGGGCAGCCCCCAGATCCCCACACAGACCAGCACTGTGGCCCACCCTCGCTCAGCGCGGCTCAGTCTGAGTGATAGCATAGAATCTGTGCCTTGCAAGCCACCCACCTCCTGCATGCCCTCACGCCACGCACTCCCCGGTTCCAGGAGAGACTGGAAGCAATGAAGGACACACAGACACCTCTGGGGAACCACAGACAGCACTCAGGGGAAATTAATCAAGTGTTGACACACTGAGCAGGCCAAGAATGAGAGAGGTTTCCTGCTGGGAAATAGGAGCCAGGCCCAGGGCAGAAGTCGGTGCTTTAGAGCACAGAGGAACCTCTTCATTTCCCTGACATAGGCCAAAGGAGCTGGACTTTGGGAACTCTGTGAACACAGGGCTGTCTCCGGGCTGTGTCTCCCCTCACACCGGGGCTCCCTGAGGACGGGGCTGTGTCTCCCCTCAGACTGGGGCTCCCTGAGGACAGGGCTGTGTCTCCCCTCAGACTGGGGCTCCCTGGGGGCAGGGCTGTGTCTCCCCTCACACTGGGGCTCCCTGGGGGCAGGGCTGTGTCTCCCCTCAGACTGGGGCTCCCTGAGGACAGGGCTGTGTCTCCCCTCAGACTGGGGCTCCCTGAGGACAGGACTGTGTCTCCCCTCAGACTGGGGCTCCTTGAGGACAGGGCTGTGTCTCCCCTCACACTGGGGCTCCCTGGGGGCAGGGCTGTGTCTCCCCTCAGACTGACGCTCCCTGGGGGCAGGGCTGTGTCTCCCCTCAGACTGGGTCTCCCTGGGGGCAGGGCTGTGTCTCCCCTCAGACTGGGTCTCCCTGAGGGCAGGGCTGTGTCTCCCCTCAGACTGGGCTCCCTAAGGACAGGGCTGTGTCTCCCCTCACACTGGGGCTCCCTGAGGACAGGGCTGTGTCTCCCCTCAGACTGGGGCTCCCTGAGGACGGGGCTGTGTCTCCCCTCAGACTGGGGCTCCCTGGGGGCAGGGCTGTGTCTCCCTCAGACTGGGGCTCCCTGAGGGCAGGGCTGTGTCTCCCCTCAGACTGGGGCTCCCTGAGGACAGGGCTGTGTCTCCCCTCACACCGGGGCTCCCTGAGGACAGGGCTGTGTCTCCCCTCAGACTGGGGCTCCCTGGGGGCAGGGCTGTGTCTCCCGTCAGACTGGGTCTCCCTGAGGGCAGGGCTGTGTCTCCCCTCAGACTGGGTCTCCCTGAGGGCAGGGCTGTGTCTCCCCTCAGACTGGGTCTCCCTGAGGACAGGGCTGTGTCTCCCCTCAGACTGGGGCTCCCTGAGGACAGGGCTGTGTCTCCCCTCAGACTGGGGCTCCCTGAGGGCAGGGCTGTGTCTCCCCTCAGACTGGGCTCCCTAAGGACAGGGCTGTGTCTCCCCTCAGACTGGGGCTCCCTGAGGACGGGGCTGTGTCTCCCCTCAGACTGGGGCTCCCTGAGGACGGGGCTGTGTCTTCCCTCAGACTGGGGCTCCGTGGGGGCAGGGCTGTGTCTCCCCTCAGACTGGGGCTCCCTGAGGGCAGGGCTGTGTCTCCCCTCAGACTGGGGCTCCCTGAGGACGGGGCTGTGTCTCCCCTCACACTGGGGCTCCCTGAGGACACGACTGTGTCTCCCCTCAGACTGGAGCTCCCTGAGGACAGGGCTGTGTCTCCATCACAGACTGGGGCTTGTTTGAGGGATAGAAATTGATTATTTTCCTCTTCAGACTGGAAACTTATAGAATAGGAAATGGGCACCAAGGATATAAGTTAAAGAAGACCAATTCCAAATCATAGAAAGAAGTCACTTTTTTGACATCCAAATTAATTAATTGATCTTTATGGAAAATAAGGCCCACACACATTCTGGACATCAAAAAATTTTCAGCTCAGCCATCAAGCTCATCTACTCATTTTCCTCTATCAGGAGGGAAAAAAGTGAACAGTTAAAATTTCATCTCATTTGTTTTAAAAATTAGGTAATAGATCTAAATGGTTCGAAGATCAAAGTAATATGGGAGGATATACTTTGAGAGTTCTCACCCCCAAAACCTCCATTCCTCCCCACTCCCGCTGCCATATGTAATGATATTAGCTTCTAAGTGTCCTTCCAGTGTTTGCTTATGCAAATACAAGTAACTATTCCTGCTTTCCCGTCCCCAGAGAGAACTCTCTGGTAGCTACAACTAGTCCAATCAAAAGCTCAGGTTTGTATCCCGGTTGTGAATGACCTATTTGATTTGCAAGTCTCTTTCCTGGAGGGCGTGGAGGGTAGGTGACAACCTGAGGCCCGCATGCCTCAGGAAGAAGGCAGCCTATGTAATGGCCCGGTATACAGCAAGTGCTCAACAAGTGAGTGCGATTGGTTTGGGTTGTTTGGTTTTTTCTTTTTTTAAGAAAATATTATCTGAACTCCATGTGTTCCCCATGTCCTTAAATCTTAACGAACTTAGCTGGGCTTGTTGGCAAGTGGATTTGGAGAGAAGAGGTCTTCAAGTGAAGAGGTGGTTTGTGAGAGGGACCAAGGAGTGGGGCGAGGCCAATGCACACGTCAAGGCAAGTGGCACTTCTGAGATCTGCGGGTTTTGAGACTCTCCCAGCGAGGCATCCTGGTCCTGGGAACAGAAGGCCAGCCTGTGTTTCCCCGGCAGCTCAGGGCCCAGCAGCCTCATAGGCCAGGCCCAAAGCCCTATCTAAGGTACACAGCGTTATCTCCATTCCTCCTGTGGGGAGAGCCCAGGCCTCCCAGAGGGCCTGCCTCCCACCTCTTCGTTAACATTTACCACAGCTAGAAAACAGTGGGCACACAAGGCACAGGCCACCTACCACCCAGTAACATGCATGGGGACGTGCCAACACGACGCACAGCAGATCGTGTCCCAGGGTGCACAGAGGGCCCCTTCCACAGCCAGGCAGGCACCAGCTCCACATCCCCGCACACCCATGGCAGCCTTGGCTCCTTCAGGCACAGGGAAAAACATGAGACTGGTAACTGAGCCCTCACTGCCCAGCACACGTGGCTGGTCCAAATCCAGATAGGCAGGCAGCCCGGGTGGTTCAGCAGTTTAGTGCCGCCTTCAGCCCAGGGCCTGATCCTGGAGACCCGGGATCAAGTCCCACGTCCGGCTCCCTGCATGGAGCCTGCTTCTCCCTCTGCCTGTGTCTCCGCCTCTCTCTCTCTCTCTCTCTGTCTCTCATGAATAAATAAAAAAATAAATAATAAAAAAAATTGAGATACATAAAGAATGCACATGGATTGTGAAGACTTAGTATGAAAAAATCATCTAAATGATCTCATTAAGGTTTCATGCCTTGATTACCCGTTGAAATGAGAATAGTTGAGGATATTTTAGGTACAATAAATACACATATGACTATGTACAATATATTAAAATGTTTCTCACCTGTTCATTTTACTCTTTTAATGTGAATTGCTGGAAAAATCTTTAAATATGGATGTGGCTCATATTATAGTTTGTGGGATGGCACTGACCGGGAAGGTTATAGGAATTGTCTTAGAGGCTGTACCCCTCCTCACCGCCAGGTGTGGGGTATGGTCATACCACCTCCTTCCAGTCCCTGGAGCCTGTTCCACCATCATGTCCCCATCAGACTGGGGGCCCTGTGAAGCCAGGAGCCAGTACTCTGCTCTCTCCTAGTTTCGCGCTGCTGCCCAGACTTGGGAGGGATGAGAGGTGGCTCTGTGGGAGCCAGCTGCCCATGCCTTCTGCTAAGTCAGTGACAGCATGTTCCCAGGAAGGCCAAGCCCCCAGCCCTGTGGCCTACCACTGTAAACCTCCTCTGCCATGCTTGACGATCAGATTAGAAGTTGCTCGTTTCATTCAGCTGATCTTGAGAGGAAGCATTGTTTTTCCCAAGACTTGAGATTTAGGCATTCAGCAAGTTGTGGGTCACTCCTAGGTCAGAAATGGTTTGAAATGCTCACAAATTATAAAATTTCATGGAGAAGCCACGATAAATAGAGAAAAAGTCACAGCACCAAGTCTGGCACATTTCAGCCTCCACTCACTCAGCTTTGTTCCACCACTTTGAGACATACCTTCATGGGAGAGCTCTTCCTGGAATGGTGGACGCCACTCACCGCCCCCAAGTCCACTCCTCTCCAGGCCCCAACCCCTGTGCCCTCCCCACACACACTTGCCGTGTCTACTCCCACCTCCCCTCCCCCAGCTAAACCCAGTTCCCCTGGGTGCCTTGTGCTGCTGAACCCAGCAGGTCATTCACCTCCCTCGTTCTGGATATGATATGTCCATTAACCCAGCCTATAATTGCCTTGCTCTTCGGATCACTAACCGTCACTGCTGACACACTGGGAGCTGTCAACAAGCCTCCAAGTCTTTTGTTCTTAGACGCTGGTGTGGGGGACCCCCCCCCCGCCCCCATGCAGAGACTGCCAAATGCCACCTTGTATCATTAGATCCTTCATGGCCACCTATTGTGGCCCTTCTGGGTCCCAACTCTCTCCCTGGTGTTCACTTCTCCTCCCAATGGGACCAGTGTAACATTCAGGCCTCTGCCAAGTCCTAGCTAGTGATAGGTGGGATTCCCCGGCCCCCACGCCACCCCCTGGTGCTCCGGCCCCTCCCAAAGTCTATCCACAGTCCTCATCCCCAGTCACCCCTTGGCATCATTTGGAACAGTTAGTCATGCCTCTTACTGAAACCTTTCTTTCACTTTATTTTCAAGGTACCTCCTGGTTGCCGCCACCCCCCTACCCCACCCCCGCCCACCTCCTGGCCACTCCTTCTCAGCCTCCTTTGCTGCTACTTCTCTGTTACCCAACTCTGTGATCAGAAAGCCCCATGGCTAGCACTGGGACACCTTCTCATCCTTGTCTTCACTCACTCCCTGGGCGATCTCATCCAGGTGAGAGGCTTTAAATATGATTTATAAATTGCTGGCTCCCAGACTTAAGTCTCCAGCCCAGCCTTCCCCTCTGATTCCAGGACTCACATGTCCCATTGTCCCCCTTCATTGCCACCTGATGTCTCACAGGCATCTCAGACTCAGCATTCTAAACCCAGCCTTCCCGTCTGCCCCATCCCAGCCATCCCACTCACCCACAGGCCCCACTATCTCAGGATCTCTGGCCAGGTCAACTCCATCCTTCCAGTTGCTCAGACTAAATACCTTTGCCGTCCTATTTCATGCATCCCTTTCTTTCATGTCTCCTGGCCAATGTGTCAGCAACTCCTATTGGCTCTATCTACAGAGCACATCACAATCCAACCATTTCTCTGTCACTTCCAGTCAGGTTCAAACCACCGTCATTTCTCGCTTGGATTTTTGCAAGAGCCGCATGACTTTTGCCCTTGCTCTTTGGATCACTACAGTTTCCCTGCTCTGCCCTGAGTCTATTCTCAACACAGCAGCCAGAATCAGCCTGTTAAAACCCAATTCCAGAGGCGCCTGGATGGCTCAGTGGTTGAGCATCTGCCTTTGGCTCAGGTTGTGATCCCAGGGTCTTGGGATCGAGTCCTGCGTCAGGCTCCCCCCAGGGAGCCTGCTTCTCCCTCTGCCTATGTCTCTGCCTCTGTGTGTCTCATGAATAAATAAATAAAATCTTTAAAAAACCCCAAACAATTCTGAAGCTAACTCTTCTGTGCTCAGACTCTCCAATGGCAACTGCCTCACTCAGGTAAAAGCTGCAGACTTCACAAGGGCTTCCCCAAGCTCCCCACAATCCAGCCCCCCCTTTCCCTCTGTCTCTTCTCCTCCACACACCTGCCCTCTCTCTGTTCCTCCAATATTCCAAGCATTGCTTCAGCCTCCCAGGCTTTGCAACAGCATTCCCTCTCCAGAAAGCCTCAGGGCTCTCCTCCTCCTTCTTTCAGGTGCTCAGATGCCACCTTCTGAGTGAAGCCTTTCCCAACCACCCTGTTTGGAATCATGACTGACCACTGCCCCCCCCAGCCTTTTTCATCCTTCCCCATCTTCTTTTTTTCTTTCTAATACGCTATATACTTTTCTTATTTACGTTGCCGTTGTCATTCTGACACCAATGGAGTATCAGCTCCAGGAGGGTGGGGATTTCTGTCTGATTTTTTCACAGCTGTATCCCTAGTTCCTAAAGTGGCGCCTGACACATAGTGGATATTCAATCACTACTTGTTGAATGGACAGGATGGGACTAATGACAGAGCCCCCATGGCATCTATTGTCCTTTTCCAGACCAATGTGGATTTATTAAGTAATACCCTTGGCATATGGCCTTCTAATATACCATATAATTTCCTTATTTATCCTGGTTTTCATTCATTGCCTGTCTCCTCCTATAGAATGTAAGCTCCGTGAATGTTTGTTCAATGAGTGGATGACCATTTTTCCAGCTACTGACCCATAAAACTACCTCAGGATCACAGCTGTATTTTTCCATCTTAACCATCAAAACACCTGAGAGACCTTATCAAGAACTTCGTGGAGTTCTCACACTTCCCACAATTTCTGCACCTATCAGTTGCCCATCCTTTTGAGAGCCAGAGAATCTATCAGTCAGAAATCTTAATAAGAGAACTGCATATTAAATCTAGAGATTCTGGGACACATGGGTGGCTCAGTGGTTGAGTGTCTTCCTTTGGCTCAAGGCATGATCCTGAGGTCCTGGGATTGAATCCTGCATTGGGGTCCCCACAGGGAACCTGCTTCTGCCTCTACCTATGTCTCTGCCTCTCTCTGTGTGTCTCTCATGAATAAACAAATAAAATCTTTACATAAAATAAAACTAGAGATTCCTTCTATCTGGTCACCCAGCACCAGTTAGAACTGAAGGCTGGAAAACACACTGTTAGCCAAAATATGGGGAAACAGACCCTCCCCTTTATGAGGGTGGAGACATGAATCGACACAACTTCTACAGAGTTGGACAATTTGACGGTATCTATCAAAATTCAATGTGTGCAAATCCTTTGCTCAACAACTCCCTCTCTAAGTATTCTATAGAAATGCATACATATCACACATATCAAACATGCAGAAAGTGCTATGCATGCAAAGTTATTCATTGTAGATATGACAACGATGAGAAAGGAAGCCTGGGGACTGTGGGGGGCTGGTGTAATAAATGACAGGGCATTGTATTATGATACTCCCAGAGCGGAAAAAAAATAAGGTAGCCCCATTTTCACTGTTATAAAAATCTCTGAAATCTAATAATTAGAGGAAAAGAAAGTTAGAATAAAACGTGGCAAGTGAAATACACCAGATTTGCCTTTTTTTTAAAGGGTAGATGGATAGATGGATCATATACATGAACAGCGGTAACACCGGTTCCCTTTCAAGAGCGCATCTGGGGGGCTAGTAGGCAGGAGTGAGAGGCGGACTTTCCACTGTATATTCTTGGGTGCTTTTTGAATTTTATTCCATGGGCGCTTCTTATCTATTTCACAATACTCTTGTTTTTAATGGGCCTGACGTGCTCGCCATGCTGGCTCCCAGACGCCCCCCTTCCCTTCACTAAATGCTCATGAGCCATGCCTTTCCCAGGCTGCAGGGATCCTGGCCCAGGACTGCCCTCAGCTGTGTGGTTACAGATTCCAAACTCCTCCTCTCTCTGAAACTCAGAGCCACATTTTCCTTGCACCCAGCGTCTTGCTCCGAGCTTCCTCAGAGGGGACCGAGAAGACCCAGTGGTCCTATCCAGAAGCTTCCTTTGTGCCTGAACTGTGGTGTTATGGGGAGAGGCCCCCCCCCTGCACACCTCGTCGAGGAGCAGCCCTCAGGTGGGCTCCTCCCACCTCCAGGGGCCCCAGGCTTCTCCTTCCTCTCCCAATGTGGGCCCCTTGCTGGTCTCTGGCAGAAGGGCAGCGACAACACAACCCCAGGAGCACCCCTTTCTCCACTCCCCATTGCGCAGGCGCAGACACAGCCCCCTCCCGGCCTGGTCTGCACAGGCTGATCCCTGGCTGTACGAGCCTCTGTTGCCCCTAGTATCTCTCACAAAGTTCTGCCTATTTTTGTCTTCCAGGCACTGTGTTCGCGGCTCGTAGCCCTGTCTCGTATTTGCCCTTCCCTCCTCTGCTCAAGCCTTCCTAAAACAGCACCCCCGGAAGAGCTGCCATGCCGCCCACTGATCTCCTCAGCCACTGCTCCTCTTCCTTCGGCACCGGGACACAGACTACCCTGTGTGCGATTGCACAATCTGATGTACATTTCTGGGAGCTTCCCAGCCCTCTTGAGACATCTGTCCCTCCAGAGATTCGTGCCATGGAATCCTTCCTATCTTGTCGCTGAAATATTGGCAGGCGGATTTGGAAAATCTTACTACAGGCCCTGGGCAGCTCTTGTCTGGATGGCGCAAGAACCTCCCTGCTGCAGTCTGAGCTTCTCCCAGCCTCTCCCATCCATTCTCTGTGCCAGCACCTTTCCAAAATCCCAGTTCATCATGCCCCTCCTCTGCCGAAAGCCATTCAAGACCCTGCAGGGTAGAAGCCAAGTTAGCAGGACTTGCAAGGCCCACTGTGGTCTGGTTTCTTGTCACGTCTCCACCTGCATCCACCTCTACCTCTCTAACTTCATCCTTCAACTAATTATCTAACTGTGCACACGTCCCTGGAAGCACTGTACTATTGCACATCTCTGTGCTTCTCCTGCTATCTATTCATCTACCTAGGTCCCCCTTCCAGCTGGTCTTGACAGGGGTGCTCGAGGCCTCGCTCAAGGATCGCCTCTTCCAGGAAACTTTCTCTGACTCCCACCAGCCCCCTACCCCCAGGAAGCCTCCTCTGGTTTCTCTCCACATCCCAGACCTGATCTTAGTTCTTATTGCATGTGGCGAACACTGTTTTCCTTCTACCTAACAGCCATTCTGCCCCACCCCTTCCTCCAGAACCCCCACCTTTCAGGTGGCCATGTATCCAGGCCCCGGAGATGAATCAGGGCTCATCCAAGCTATCTCGAGCATCCCCTCCCCCCTTTCCCCTACCCTCTGCTCACCACCTGACCCTTACTTTCCCAGTCTCCCTTGCAGCACCGCCTTTCAGTCCTGGCCAATGAGACACAAGAGGTCATTTTCTGACGGAGGTTCTGGGAAACACTTTTCCTCCCTGATAAAAATGCAGCCTCAAGGACGCCTGGTTGGCTCAGTAGTTGATCATCAGGTCATGATCCTGGGATCCTGGGATCAAGTCTGGCACTGGGTTCCTTGTGGGGAGCCTGCTTCTCCCTCTGCCTGTGTCTCTGCCTCTCTCTCTGTGTCTCTCATGAATAAATAAATAAAATATTTTTAAAAAATTGCAGGGACGCCTGGGTGGCTCAGCGGTTGAGCGTCTGCCTTTGGCTCAGGGCATGATCCCAGAGTCCTGGAATGGAGTCCCACAGCTTCCTGCATGGAGCCTGCTTCTCCCTCTGCCTCTGTGTGTGTGTGTGATGAATAAATAAATAAAATCTTTTTTAAAAAATGCAGCCCCATTTTCTCCTTGGCCTTTTTGTTTTCTGCCTTGAATACAATTGTAGGAGGCTCCGTGGCCACCATCTTGTAACCCTGGGGCAATAAGCATGTGGACAATAAGCTAATGTGTTCAGGAGAGCAGAGCAGAAAGATAGGAAAAGCCTGAGTTTTTGATAACTTCACTGAGTTCTTTCATCAAATCTGGAGCCATAACATGTTATAGGAGATGATCTTGTTGGAGTCGGCCTCCACAGCTGTATGATAAGCTCTTGAGGATAGGAATGGTGTCTTATTCCTCTTGGCATTTCCGGAACCTAACACAATGACTCAAGAAATGACAGTTCAACTGAATTGGATCAAATTCCCTTCCCTGACGATTCTGAATAAGGAAACAGGTTCACTTTATCCCACGTTTCCCTGATCACTGCCACTCTGCTGATCCATTCTTTCAACCAATTCTGTTTCCTTCACTCACTTCCCCTGATCCTCTGAGATATGAAATGATCCCCAGAACCAGTCAAAAACTAGTCAGATGCCTGGCAAGTCTTCACAGATTAGGTGTCTAACCCACTGGGTCCTGCCCTGGGCCAAGGGGTCACCATGTATCAAGAAAGCACCATCTCTGTCCTCCTGCTGCCCTTACAGGTAGGCAGGACTCACCCTGTCAGCTCTGACCAGGAGGTCACTCCTTCCTGGCCTCCTGTTCCAGATCTTGACCAGCTCAGGATATCTCCTCTTCACTCTCTCTCTCTCTTTCTCTTTTTTTAAATTTTATTTATTTATTCGTGAGAGACAC